TATTGCTGTGTAAGGCAACTAATAATATTATTATATACAAGATAATCTTAATCGGATTGAATGATGCCCTAAACTGTAAGAGCAAGGTAAATTGTAAAGAAAAGATTAAATCTGTAGCTGAATATATTTCTAATACTCTTTTTTTGAAAAACCAATGACTTTTGTTTCTCTTCCTCTTTCTTTCCTGGGATAAAATTTGCAGTATTCCTTAACGCCTTCCTTAATTTCACCCGGCAGCATTAAGTTACAGCACGTTTTAAGGAACGCACACATTTTCCTTTAAATCTTTCCTTTTCCTCCTCAATACCGCCTGTCTGAGATTGGCTAACTCAGAAGTTGTAGTAATAATAATAATAATACTGGTAATTATAATAATCCTTGCTTTAGACACAGCACCTCATCAAGTCGTTGAGACGTCTCTGTACAATTACCAATTGTTTAGAGCCTTTCACGTCGGGAGGACAACAACAACAAATTAAATTTGTATAGCGCCTTTCGTATCTCAAAGTGCTTCATGAGGTTTTCCGGTGAAGTTTAGTCACTATATTTATATTTATAGGCAATCAGTTGGGTGATTCTGTGAGTGTTAGTAAACTTTTGACAGATTTCCCACTGACATCTATTATTCAATGCCCATCACACAGTACATTTCCCCATCATTGTACAATGAAGACGTCATTAAATTCTGAATCCATTCGTGAGTTGAGAGAATACGCTGATTCCAGTTTAAACCGTCAGGGTTCTCGATGATTTTATTAACAATCCAACATTTTTTTTATATCAAGAAATGATTTACTCGCTCTTAACCAGGAAATTTCGCTGGATGGGAATATAGGTTTAGTCATAAATAATCATAATAATCTTTGCACTTGATATAGCTCTTCATTACGTCTTTGAGACGTCTCAAAGCGCTTCACAGAATGTACTGTAAAGTGAATTGACTATATTTTGTGGGGGCAACAAGGCACTTTTTTGTTGGTAAAGGACCAGGTGAGCACTTTGCCATGGGATTCTAGGCGAGGTGCAGTCTCGAACGTTTCTTTGTGGTGAAAATGATTACGTATGAGAGTGAGGTTGGCTTCAGGTTTGATTTATGATCATTTGATTGTTCTGCTGCCCAATCGCCTGATTCAGTTCAGGAACTGGAAATGCATTCTCCCCCTCTCGTTGTGACCCTTTCTGCTTTAATTACTTCGAAGGCTAATTCCTACTGAGGGCAAGAGGTGAAACGTGATGACATTATTAAAGCAACAGCCGTCTTTATCCTAACCAGATTCAGCTCGTACCGCTGTACACATTTTAATGGAATCATTGCGCGTAGGAAGCCCGGCCATCACGAGTAGGTTCCTCCCCGCAGAGTCCTGCCCTCGGTTTGTGAGTGTGAAACAAATCACGGCCGTAAACGCCGATCTTGCCCTTTGTGACGTGTTTTTCTTTTCTCAGATGAACAAGGGTATCTTGGGGACCGGGTTCCCATAGTAACGAGGTGCTGGTTGCTGAGAGATGTTGCCTAGACGAGACTCACAGCATTAATACTGCTCCACAAACATACCCAAGGGAGGTCTGAGCCAGAGCTCAAACTCAAACACAATTTTATTGAAGGATTTTGATTTGACAGATGTGGGTCCTTTAAACCGGCTGAACTTTCAGGTTGGGTTCTTCAGCGAGCTTGTACTTGGTTATTAAGCCTCAACCCCTTTTTCAGCAGTTTAAAGGCCATTTCAGGTCGGTGAATTGACCATTTTCTACGACGCTATGTTGGTGGAAATACTTAATAAAAATGCCATACTTTGCTCGTTTGGGGCCCTGAGTGAGTGTGTGAGTGGGTGAGTACCAGTATAGAGCGGTGCAGTACGAAGGACTACAGACTGGAAACGATGATCTGTACTGAGTTAGCTCATCTCCGCCAGTTGGGCTGCTTTAGTCGTTTTCAGAGAGGAGCAGAGGTGGTTCCTAGTCTTGATTGTCATCAAGCGAGTGTGACAACCCTCCCCCAATAAAGGGAGTGCAGCAGGAATATTACGGGACATGAACGTTGTGTTTCTTTTTGTGTAAAGGGCCGGTATTTTGGTGAAATGGGTCAAAGCAGGAGATGAAGTGGGTGGGGTAGAGTTAGTGATCGGGTAGGTTCTGCATGCACCGTACTTGCTGGGTTGACTGGAACTCTTCCTGCTCCACGTTCTCTTGAGTTGGCAGAAGTGATTGATTGGATTCCTTGGGATGTAATGTTGAAACGTTGGGTTAGCACCGGGAGTAGTGGGGCCCCATGTTGTCACCTCATGCTCTGCTGGTCGTGGGAGGGAAGCCTGAGAGAGAGAGAGAGCCCGCGCGAGAGAGATGGGGGAGGGGGATAGAGAGAAACGCACACACTTTGGAGTTGCTCCTGGTCCTTCATTCAGGCATTGGACAATTGCACTCGCTGTCTGAAGGATAACACGCTGCATTGAACGTATAAAATTTCCACTGAAAACTAAAAGGCAAGTGATAACCCACTTGGGCCCTATGGCAACAAACACAATAACTTGCTTTTATATAGCACCCCCTCAAGCAGGGTAGCCTCACGGAGCCCTTGACAGTGTGGGAGCACAACTCGACCTGAAAATGGGGAAGGAAGGGGCAAGGTGGAGGGATAGAGGAAGAGTGTTCCAGATTTTCGGGGTGCAGTGGCCGAAAGCGCGGCATCCACAAGGTAGCCACGTTCACGTGCCTGAAAAGAGCTGCTGTAATGGACCAGTTCAATATCCCAGAGCTGTCAGTAACGCTGCCTTTGACAGGAATACAAAGCGCGAGGCAGGGTCATGCGATGGAGAGGGTGGTTTCCTGTGAGTTCTCATTAATGAAGGAGCCACAAACAATGCAATCTCTTTCAGTGAGTGTTACAGGGAGGGAGGGGGTGTGGGGGGGGGGGGGGAGGTGGGTGGGAGCGGGGGTGGTAGGCTGCTGTGTCACTGAATGGTGAGCAGAAATGCTTTTGTGAAATTGCAAAGGGTGATTTAGCACAGTCGTGCCTTTGGAGTGGAGTGGAGTTCGCATGCTGATTATCCACTGTTGTTTCTGCAAGCCGGGGAGAGTAGAGCTCAGAAGAAGAGGGAGGCAAAGATTTAGATCTGAAATAAAAGGTGTCGGCGGCGACATGAGTAAAACGTGACACGTGATCACTGTTTTGCGTCCACTGGTTGTCAGATACCCCACAGGAACAACAACAGCAAAGGTGTTCGTGTCGATACTCTCTCTGATACTTTGGCCAAGCGCGCACCCTACCTGTGCCCGTCACAAACTGCTGCGTGTCGGGGAGGCTACGTGACCACATGGGGGGGCGTTACAGCCAAGTCTGTTCTCACCCCCCCGCCCAGGAGATTACTGGAGAATGTGGGAGCAGGGAACCTGGCCAACTCCTGCTTCACTTTCCTTTTATCAGGCTACAAAAAAAACAACAAATTACATTTGTAGAGCCTCTTTCATGTCGGGAGGACCTCCGAAGGCACCCGGCAGTCTGGGATTTGGACCCAAGCTTGGGGTTGGGATCGGGAGAAGTGGAGGGCAGGGAGGGTAAGGGGTAGGAGGGTGACCAAAGGCGCGTTCGAGGAGGAAGGTCTTAAGACGAGTCTTGAAGGAAGCAAGGGAGGGAGCGAGGTGAAGGGACTGTGGGATGGAGTGAGTTCCAAAGGATGGGTGTAGAGAGGCAGAGCCAAAACACACAGTAGCCACACTTTACAGTAAAATCCTGTGAAGCGCTTTGAGACGTCCTTCCTTGGTGAAAGGCGCGATATTGAATACAAGTGTGTTATTATCAGAGCGACCATTGGTTTTCTCAAAGCGCTTCTCAACGACACATCCTACAGGAACTTATAATTCCCATTTGTTGTCCTCAGCAACAATCCTGGTGCACAAAGCCTTGGGCATGCGACTACATCCTTAACAGGAACAAGAATTCTTGTGTTCATAAATGCGCTGCGTGCTGGCATGTGTGTAATCTTCGCTGGATAAATGTGGGCAAATGATCAGATGGTGTCAGTGTGTAGTGTACTGTGTCTGTCTGCCAATACTGTACGTGGTTGCACTGTGCTTGTTGGGAATACCGAGGGTCACACTCTCAATAGATCTCGCTGTAGTAACAACATTCTGTTCGCAGTAGTCGTTCAAACATCGTTATTACACCTAGCATAAAGGTTTTATGGTCACGATAAACACCACAAGCTGTTATTGCCCCAGGCACAATACGCTGCAGGGTTTCCATGCCCTGCCTTGGGAAAGTGATGTTCAGTGTTTCATTCAGTGCGAAAAGAAGCCTTTTATGCAGCACGTACACTCCAGACTGCTGGGAGAAAGGCCCTCGAATTTGGAACGTCAGCGCTGGAACCAAATCAAAGCCACGACTCGAAAAACCCTTCGAGTAACAAATAATTCTCATTGTGAGAAGGCTTCAGGCAGGCGGGGAGGGTGGGAGAGCGCCAGCAAAAGCATCAGGCGACAATCAGTTCGTCTGACTTAATACATTGTACATGAAGTTTTTTTTAAAATGATTTTTAACAATTTATTTCGAAAGCAGTCGGGTCTAATGAGGATTTGGGAGTTGTTAATAATAATAATAATAATCCTTGCCTTTGACGCAGCACCTTATCAAGTTGTTGAAACGTCTCAAAGCGCATCGCAGGATATACTGTAAAGTGGATTGACTTGTGTATTTTGAAACATTACAGCCAGCACAGAAACAGGCCGTTCAGTGCAAATTGCCCTTGCCAGTGTTTGTATGTATTTCACACTTGAACCTCCATCCCCCTGAACCCCTCTCTCACGCCCTTCTATGCCCTTCTCCCCTGTGACGCCCTCCCGATACGAAAAGCACTCGATTAAACGCCGGAGGTTTTATTATGTTCGACATTAATCCGATTGTGTTGTTAACTGATATTCTTCCTTGTTATTTGTCTGAGCTCCAGAGAGCGGTTTTCAAAGCCGGGTTCCCTGTACTGATGTGCCTGTCTGATGCTTGTGTTGCGCAGGTGATCGCTGTGAGGTGAACTCACGGTCAGGCCGCTGTTCTCCAGGGGTTTGCCGTAACGGAGGCTCGTGCGTGAACCTGCTAGTGGGAGGCTTCAAGTGCGACTGTCTGCCGGGCGAGTACGAAAAGCCGTACTGCGAGATGACAACTCGCAGTTTCCCCTCCCAGTCCTTCATCACCTTCAAGGGGCTACGGCAGCGATTTCACTTCAGCATCTCGCTCACGTAAGTGCATTTCGCCACAGGCGGCTACAGCTTGTATTTTCTACTAACGCCTGATAACGTCAATGTCTCAGAGCCGTCTTAGTGGAGTGCAGTTCGAGCGCCAGCAAGGCGGGCGATGAGGGCGTGGAAGGGAAGTGACTGAAGACGTGGTTGAACAGCCAGATGTTTAGCAGGTTTTTGAAAACTGAGAGGAAGGCTGTGAGGTGGAAGGATTTTGGGGAGAGAATTATGATAATACTAATAATTAATGCTTGCATTTGAGATAGCACCTTATCACGTCACAAGATCCCAATATTCGGTCCATTTGATCTCATCTGCTGTGCGCTGCCGGGTTACACCCACAAAATACACATTCAATTCACTTTGCAGTGTATTCGGTGAAGCGCTTTGAGAGGTCCCGAAGATGTGATAAGACGCTATATCACGACTTTGAGACGTCTCAAAGCCCTTCACAGAATATACTTTAAAGTGAATTGACCGTATATTTTGTGGGCGAAACGCGGCAGCCAATTGCGCACAGCAGACGCCCCACAAACAGTCGTGGATTGAGCGACCAAATTATTTAAATTTATTTTTGAAGGAATTATTCCCTCTTGTTTTCCCACATGCGTTGCTTATTGGCACGAGATGTAAGTCTCACTTCTGCCCAGGTTTAAACATTGCCTTCCTGACCCAGAAGTCAGCATGACATGATGGGCAATCTCTGTGGTTCTAAGGAAATTAATAATTTACAACATTTTTGCAGTGTAGCGTTAGAAAAACAAAGGTGATGAATGATTAGTTGGGTCCCAGCAGCCACACAAAGCTTTCTTGAGGATAAAAGCGATCTCCTTCAACACAAGTTCTTTTCAAGTTATGCCATATCATACTTACAAACTGCAGACTGTTAAGCTGCAGGGGTCATAGCTGATGTAAACGTACTTCATGGCACGCCAAAGTTAGATGATTGGATCAAAGTTGAAAGGGCTGCACTGGTAAATTTTATGTGGAATTCAGAAGCGGTTCTGCCAGGGTTGGGGTGAAATCTTAAACTCTGAGAGACAGAGTCGACCGTTCGCAAGATCCCAAGATTGGTTCGGACGAAGAATAAGGCCCTTTGGCTGGTTTGATCTCACCCTCCCAGGAAATCCACCCGACCACCCTTGCCAATACAGCATCGAGCGGGTTTTTAAAAGCGATCAGCATTATTGTGTTTTTTTTGGTCAGCCGGGGTGTCTGACACACGCGGAAACCCGTCACCGTGCTTGAGAGTAGCCAAACCAAACTGAGAATTCGATGCATTCCACCTTTACAAGGAAATTCCAGAGATAGATTGTGGGAATGGAATGCGTTCTTCCCCCTCTCTCTCTCTCTCTCTCTCTCTCTCTCTCTCCTTGGAGGGACGCTTCCTGCTTCCTGGTCACGACCACACTCCACGGTGTCCCAGGCGTTAATTGCTCAGCTTGTGAACAAATACTTCCTGATGTCCGTCCTGAAATTGCTCTTTGCGGTGCTCTGGCAAACCCTGCTCGAGCCCTATCCCCTGCAAATGCTGCACTTCTGTGGACGAATCGCCACTTTGCAAACACACCCGGTGTCGTTTTATCCGCCAACAAGAGCTGGTTCTGCGGCTTCGCACTTGGCTTTAGAAGAAATGGGACAGGGACTGGAAGGCTCAGGCCGCAAACGGAACGCTGTGATTAATGGGTTACCTGGCATCGGAATAAGCGGTCAGTGATGCAGAAAATAATCCCAGGAATGAAGACTAAAATGAACTCTGGTCAATCATGCTCATAATCGTGGCTTAGTCCTGCGTCAGCTATTCTTTGGGCCTTCAGTTTCTGCTCACGGAAGCGAAGAGAGTGGAGGGAAAGGGAGATGGGTGGGGTGAGGGGGGGAGTTGGTGAGGCAAAGTGATTTTGAGAGAGTTCCAGTGGGATGGGGTATGTTGTTGTCTACTGTGTTGAACTCCAGTGATAGAGCTGTGATTTCCAGAAGACGAGTGCGAAATTCTAAGCAATGTAGTTTAATGGACCGGAGAGGAATTCTGGAAAATAAAACAGTGACTAAACCATTCCCCCTCCCCTCCACCCCCCCCCCCGCCCCACGACACTTACTAGTGAGAAGGTTTCCCCTCCCCTGTCAGCTTCTCGCAACCCATTTCGTTTCAATTACGTACCGGGGGAGGGGAAAGTGTTTTCATTACGTGTTTCTAAATTCAGATTATTATTGTCAGTTAAAAGAAACGATTGTTTCGCTTACGCGACTGATTTGATTGTGGCTTTTGGAATTAATTTGATGTGCTTCAGGGCGCTCAGTTTGCTTGGAGCTTGGGTAGAAAGGAAAATGTCACAAAGCAGCGAGAGACAGCAGAAACACCCACTCCCCCCAAATGTAGGTTAATACTGTTAGAGTAAAATTGGCTTAAAGTTAAATGCACATCCAATCTGTCAATAAGACCTTCTAAAGTACTCAGACAGAGCCAGTAGACTGGAAGTTATTTTATTAAGCACGTGCTTCTGTGTTTTATGAATGTTACATTATGGTTTTGTACGAAACGTAGTCATTCACTCTTTTAATAATAATAATAATTAATAATAATCAATGCATTTGTTGTGGCGCCTTATCATGTCATTGAGAAGTCTCGAAGCGCTTCGTAGAAAATCTTGTAATGTGGAGTGATTGCGTATCCCGTGAGCGAAACCCTCACACTTTCCCCCCACGAGGTACATTGAATTACAGAGCGATACGACTTGAAACCAGCCATTCAGCCCACCGTGTTTATACACCACACTGCTCCCCGCCCCCCAGTTCCTTTTCTCCCTCGTCGATGCACACGCACGTGTTTGCACGGACACAGAGACACGTGTGAGATACACGCGCAACAAGCGTACGCACTGCAATACACGCGCCCGCTTATGCAATACAGTGCAATCTTGAGCGCAAATTTGAAATCCGTAGTTCAGTTAGTTCAATTTGATCATGGTATTTTATTCATTTTCAACGAGCAATTATCTTTTCTCTCAATCATCCTTTTGTGTGCGTGTGTGTGAACGTAAGTAGTTTCCCCCATTTAGTCAGCACTGCACTATACATGACTGTGCTTTCGATTCTCATCTGCTCCATTTAGCCTCAGGACCGCTGATGAAATTATAATTGGGTACTGCAGGTGGAAGTGTTTCAAGGCGTTCTCCCGGGGTGAACGACTTTAATACATCTATAAACTGTTGTTGTTGGTGGTTATTTGCTGCTGCTGTTTGTTCAATAAAGGTGTGCGTGCGGTTAGGGTTAAGGCGAGCTTTAGCATTGCATCAGCGGTGAACAACATTTGTCTCGGGGTTAGATTCCGAGCTGCAATAAGCAGATGCTGTAGAACTGAACCTCCCTAGGAACAGCTTGCTGTGAAAAACTTTTACCCGCACAGCAGGCGGGCAAACTGGAAATGCCCACACCACAGGAGGTGTGATGTGATATCTTGCGTTCCACAATGTGCTGGAACAAGGCATCCTAAATGAGGTATCGTATCCAGGGCTTAAGATGCTGTGGGTCTTTACCAGCCTTTCAGGGTCTCACCCAAGTGACCACATCCTCACAAGAGCCTGGACCGGCACTGCTTGACCTTATTCTCAGCTGACATCTGCATCCAAGCCTATTCCAGTGAGGGTCACTAGATCGTGATTTAAAGGACTCTGTAACTTTTGGTCGATTCCCTTACCTTAACTAACCCCTGGAGGCCATTCGCTGGGACCGTCCCATCACACCGACTTCACTCATCCGCTAAGCAGTCAGGAGTGCCCGGCCTGTTGCTTGCTCTTGCGTACAGGATCCTCGTTGAATGCCCACTACATGCAGCTATCTGACTATAAGGGAGAGGACGTAAAGATACTGTCATGTAGCTGTCTGGAAACAAGAGGATGAGGAAAATACCTCAGTGCTGAGCTGATACCTGTGCCCAACAATAATACTGGGGTAGCGGGTGACTACATTTTACAATACAATCCTGTGAACTGCTTAATCCATGACTGTTGAGCAATATTCCAATAAATCGTAAGTCACTGTGAGTTGCACAAGATTATTTTAACGCAGTATCACAAATAACCAGAGGGTATAATGTTTTTTTTTAGCAGCTGGAGGAGTTAAAGCTGTAGTTTGATATTTTCTTTCATTTATTTCTTATTTGAAAAGAAGAGCAGTTTGCACGTGCGGTTTACTGATTTTACGCCCCTCACTCTAACCCTCGCCCTCCCCTCCTCACTCTTCCCACAGCATTAAAAAAAATCTAAAAGCTTGTTCAGCGAAATTATGTTGCTTGATTTTGGCAAGATCAGCCAGGCGCAAAATTAGCTGAAATTGTTCCCGGGTTAGTGCTGCTGGGAGTCCCACAGATATGTGAGAGAACATCTTTCTTCAAGCAGTTTTCAGCAGTCTGTTTAGAGTTAGTCCTCTGCGAGACGGATCGATCTCGCCAACTGGAACCACAGATTGAAATTAATATCAGCGCTTGGGGAGGGGGAGTGTTGGTATCATAATTAAGACGATTCAATATGACTGACATTTCTCTTTTCTGTTGGAGCGGTAACCTTCAATAATGAATAATAATAATTTAGTCACTTCAATCCACCACCGGTTGTGGGACACTGCTGTCCGCAATTGGCTGCCGCGTTTCGCCCACAAAATATACAGTCAGTTCGCTTTACCGTATAGTCTGTGAAGTTCTTTGCGTCGTCTTGAAGACGTGATAAGGCGCTGTATGAAATGCAAGGATTATTATTATTTTTATTTCAGCCTTTGCATTGCTTTGATGCGATTTTGTGATCGTGCAAAAGAGAATTCCAATATTACATTTTAAGAACCGTTAACAAATGGCGTGAATGTTGCTGATATTTTTAACATCCTAATGGGATTCCTCAATAAGGAAGTCAAACAGGGACTTGTGTGCCGGTGTGTGAGACGAGTCTGACTTCTGATTCTGGAGGCGAGAGCGCTACCAACTCTGACACTTGTCCCCTAAGTGTCAGTGTAATCAGTTTAATCGCAAAATAATTCCAAGCACTTTTGCCTTGGGTTATGCAGCTGCCTTGTTATGTTTTTTTTTGCAAAAAGAAGACTCCAAATTCCACCTAGCCTTTGCCTGTTGCACCATTTTGCCTTAAGTTTTAAGGTGGCTTGGAAACACAGTAAATTCTTCCGTTAGGTTGGAACTCGGAAGCAGGTGTTTATAAGAACTGCAATGGCCTTCCAATTAGAGGCAATCTTATTTGAATGCAAAGCAGTCGCAGGCTAGGACCGGTGTAGTCGTCGGGTGATGGTGGTGTCTTGAATCTTATTTCAAATAGAAGCTGTGCATTTTTTTCTCAACTGTAACACATTTTCTCAGTGATTCCCAGAGCGCCAGCCAAATAAAGCAATTTATTCCCTGTTCCCTTTCTGCTGAAGTGCGAGACAACCATTGTTGGATACGGAGCATGTGCTGTTAGTGATTGTGGTAAAGGTTGCTTGACTTTTTCTTTATCTGCTGCAGGTTCGCCACCAAGAAGAAAAACGGGCTGCTCTTGTACAATGGACGTTTCAATGAGAAACATGACTTTATAGCCTTGGAAATTATTAATGAGCAGATCCACTTGACGTTTTCTGCAGGTAACTGATTATTTAATATACTAGGGCTTTGAGGTTTAATTATTACCACAGTAACGTGGTTGTGTAAAAGATTATCTTCTGCAATAAGATAGTTTGGACGCCGCCTCTATATTGTGAGAACATTTTGGATGACTTCTTGAGGGGGTTGCAGGGAAATGATTTTCCTAATTGCCGTTTGAAACCAATTCCAAATCCGTGCACCTTCTTTATTTAATGGACCTTGGTTCTCTCCGTTAACCCAGTGGATGTAGTTATTGTTTGTCATTACGTCCCCACACTCATACCGTGCAAACCATTTGGTTCTACCAGAATGTTTCCCCGTTCTGCACGCCCCATTCCTCAAGCAGGAATGCCTGGTGATCGACCCACAGAACCACACCATAAACTTTGCGCGAGTGCTATTAATATAGCTCCGTGGCGGGTCAGGAGAGCCTTGCGTTGCGTGGGACCATAATCTCAGTGTCGTCTCCAGAGAGGAGAGTGCGAAATCCACCTGAAATTGAATGACAGGCAAATGTTTTTCCCTTATCTCTGCTCAGCGGGCTCCGCCATGCTTAATGTCTCTCGCCCTGCTGCCCCACCATCAGCGCTCGGCCCTTCAGCCTTTCTGCCCCCATCCATTGGAACTCCATCTCACAGTCCCTTCGCCTCAATCCCTCCCTTGCTTCGTTCAAAGCCCATCTCAAGACCCTCCTTTTCGACCACACCTTCAGTCACCCTCCTACCCCGTTCCCTCCCACCCTCTCCACCCTTCCTGATCACACCCCCAACTGCTCGGGTCCAAACCGTTGACTGTTCAGTACCTTGGGACTTCCTCCCGACGCGAAAGGCACTGTCAAAGTAAATCGTTGCTGATCATGTTGTTTTGAATCAAATCTGCGCAGAAATGGTAAAGGTGGGCATCGCTGTATTGTAAACATCGGACTATGAAACCGTTTATTAACTGTAGCCCTTCCTGTCTGTCCCAGGAGAGTCGAGAACAATGGTAACCCCTTACATCCCAGGAGGAGTGAGCGACGGGCAGTGGCACACAGTACAGCTTCACTACTATAACAAGGTTTGGAAAGCTTTAAATAAGTAAGGGGGCAATAATGCGGCAGTGTAATGGGGTAGAAATCGTTGACATTGAATTGACAATTTGCCAACAGCACCAAGGATCTGAAATATACCCCTCCCTGGTCCCTCCCAGGTCCAAACCCTGACTGCCCAGCGCCTTGGGACGTCCTTCCGATGTGAAAGGTGCTATACAAATGTAATTGTATTGTATACCTGTTGAAGTATGTGGTGTAATAGTTGGGCTGGTGGTGAGGGAGGGGTGCGGGGGATGCTATCCTTGGATTTTCTTAGTTGCTGACATTAAAAGTCCAATTGATTTCTTTATAATTTATTCATTGCGTTAATGGATTCCAAAGATCTATCGGGGGACAAGCTGTTGTTCCTTTTCTGTCTCTTTGTTAAGTAATATTTTTTTTTGCCGCTTTAGTGTATGGCTTTGGGGGTGGTTCCTTCACTGCTGTTGTTCTGTCGTGTCATTTCCAGTACATTTTTAATAGCTTTTTAAACAAAGATTTGCAAAGATCATATTTGTGATATGATCCAATAACTCTCGAGTTTCACTGTTTTTTTCTGAAAATCATTTCCCACATTATCTGGGTCATACATTGCAGTGATTTCCTACGGGGATTCCTTAACAAGAAATCCAAAAAATAATTGCTCTGCAACTCGCAGGAACTCTATTCCGATGTGGTCAACTTTAGACAAGACTTCCTCACTGAGGAATCCAGCCAGAAATCTCAGCGTATCGGACCCCCAGTGTGTTACAGGCGGAATTAGGAAATCAGAAGACATCAGCACTCTTCACCTGCTGCCTTCTGTATCTTGCATTATGAGGTTAACCCATGTCCTTCCATGTAATTGCTTGCCTGCCTGCTACAGGCTTAGCGAGCAAAGCAATGGTGCCAAACTTTTTTTTGCCTCTCGCCTACCCTCGGCATGTGAGGTATGTGAATCTGAATCCTTTCACATGCTGCTCGAGGATTGTATTTCTTTGCTATTAAGCTGGGACACACAGAGCAGGATTTCATATTTCATAAGGTCTGAACCGGCCGTCTTCGTGACCAAACAGTGAATTGTTTTCGCGCGGTCTTTTTTGATTTGGTTTCTGCCTCTCTCGGAAGTCGTTGTGGGTGAAATTTGAAAATGGCCTTTCTCTAGGTATATGTTTTCCTGGCGCCGGTTGTAATTTAATACGCCTTGAGCTTCGTCCCACTGAAATATCTCAAAGCGGTTTGTATATTGGCTTTGAGGCAAATGGGCAGCTAATCCCCGTCAACTAAGTCCTGCAGATAGCGATGAGACGAAAGACTAGTCGTTTCCTATTATTTTGGATGAGGGAGGAATATTGGTAAGGGTACCAGGAGAACGCCCTTTGAAGTAGTGCCATGGGATTTTGAGCTGGATTGGAATGAGCTGCAGTGTTCCCTTTCCTCGGCGGACAATAATAATAATCCTTGCATTTGATATAGTGCCTTATCACATCTTCGAGACAATACTGAGATACTGGCTGGTACCAGTTGCCTGTGCATTTGTACTCTTAACAAAATCTAAAAGTACATCCCGCCATGTGAAAATTACAATTTCAAAGCCTCTTTACAAACACCTCTTTGTAAAATGCTTTCACAAGACCCAGCCTATATATAACAAGCCACAAAGGAGCCGAACAGCCCTGAGACAACTTTGTTCTTCCTGGGAATATTTGACTTCTCGGAAGCGATGCTCTTTAACTTAATTTCCAATTTCCCTCACCCGAAGTGATGCAAATTCTGTGCAAAATACAGCAGACCTGTCTTAAAGTAATGGCATCCTTAACAACAACTCAAATTTATATAGACCCGTCATGCAGGGTGACACCACAACGACAACAAATTACAGTTGTATAGCGTCTTTCATGTGGGAAGTCGTCCCTTTCCCTTAGGGACAGAACAAAAAACACAGCTGATTTCCTTGAAGGGATTAAACGCCCAGAGCGCTTGGGATAACGTCCACCTGAATAGGCAGCGCTTTAGTTAACGTCTCAAGACTTGTATCTCATCGCAGGTGTTTAATCAGCTGTGTTTTTTGTTCTGTAATTTGTTGTCGTTGTGGTGTCCTCTGAAGGACGGCATGCACAATAATGCAACGCTCCCGCAGCATTGTATTGGATTGTCCGTTTAAACTGTCGCGCTCCAAATCCCACTGTGGAGCTTGAACCCACAATCTTCTGACTCAGAGGTAGGAGGGAGTGCAACCAACTGAGTCAATCTGACGCCTATCAAATTGTGGCATGAAAATTGCAGTGTTTAATGGGTAATTATCACATCAGGATCTGTTAAACATTGCAATTTACGCTCATTGGTGTATGTGTGTGTTGGTGGGGGGTGGGGTGTTGGGGGGAGATAGGTTACCACAGGGACGCTGGCAAGTTATAGGTTTATTTAATTTTAACACATATCGTGATGTAATTATGGCAGCAATTTGCATGTTGGTCACTTGACTCCTGATCTCATGACCCTGATCCTTCCTCCTCCCTGTGATCCAGACAGGATTTAGAAAAGGCGAAGAGCTAGGAAATGAGGAAAATTTGCACTAACAATAAAAACTGCGACAGACTGAGAGAAAGTGATCATGGAGGCACTGAAGGGAGGAATAACACTGAAAGGAGGATAGGGAAACACAAAGAGCGGGAAGTTGAAAAGAACAGGGGTGGGGGGAGGGTGAAGCAAACTGGGACGAGTCCAAAAATACATAGCGTTGGAAAAAGTAAGGAATCTGGTGGATAAATAAAAGAGGACAGGTAAAGAGAGAGAGAGAGAGAGAGAGAGAGAGCGAGAGAGAGAGATAAATGGGGTTTGAGAAACCAAGAACAATAAAAGATTTTTTGTTAAATTAGATTTAAATTTTTAAAAGGACATAACAAGATTAGCTTGGATGAACAAGGCTCTTTGACTCATCTGATCTCATCTCTCCAACATACCCATCACAGCACTAAGCTACTTTTTAAATGAGTCAGATCAGTGTTTCCCGATCTCAACCACCCTTGCCAGTAACCTGTTCCAGCCGTTAATTACTGAGAGAAAATGGAACGGTGAATGGAACTTGGCCCGAACTAGTCAATAAACAAGCTGTTGTAATTTTTAAGAGCGTTTTTAGGTACAGACCAAATAGCTAATTTTCCCTAATGGACTAAATACCAACGATGAGCCCCAACTTTTGTCAGGGGTTTAGGGTAAAGGGACGTTGATATGAAATGGTGTATGTTTGAACTCAAAACAAAAATGAAATTTCAAGTAAATCTCCTATAACCTGAAGAAAAAAGTATTCGAACAAAATCTCATGCAGAAGAACAGGCAAGTTCAAAGCCGTTGTAATTAATTTGGTGGGGACTGGCTGTGACGGCTAACCCTGTGAAGTAATTTAAAAGGAAAACGAGCCTTAATTTTCTTCCGAGATGCGAATCTACTATCCGTCAAATGTTCCTGAGGCTTGACAGGTGAGGGCTTTTTTTTCCATTTCAAAAAGCAATCTGGGACACGGTGTGCTATTAAAATTAACTTGCACCAACAAGCCTGAAGTACACTGCAGCATCTTTATTACACAGAAATAATCTCGTCGATAGGGTTACACGGACTTGTGACTGATTCAAAGGCGCTGAAAGGTTTCGGTTCAACAGCTTAAAAAATTGGCAAACGCCACGCCATCCGATCGATGAATCGAAGACTTGTTTTAAAATATAATTGACATTTTTTTTTAAAAAAAGGGGAACAGGATGAGCAGTTAGCTTGCTATTTCTTTGTCATTGCGATCTGGGTTTCAATTCAGCTCGTATGCGTAGGATCAAAGTCTCTCTCTTTGTGCCAAAAGGAAGTGAAATAAATTTGTTTGGTTGCAACCCACCTTTTTTTGCAGGCATGAGCTGCTGGCTTCACTGTCTAGAATTTAACACCTGATGGAAATCAAGACTCACACTGAATAAGAATGTCACAAGTGCAGTTGGCAGTGTAATTCTCTCGAGGTGAAAAGGAGTTTCGTGAGTGTAAATAGTCTAGAACTGACAGCTGAATACTGTACTGCAATATCTGAAGTCTCTTTTTTATTATTGGCACATTAAAGAAAGAAAAAGGAGCCCCATAGGTTAGAATAATAGCTGCCAAACAACAACTCTATTGTGAGCAAAGAGACAAATCTGCGTTGAACACAAAGGAAAAGTATGCGGGCCGTTATTATTAGATAAAGCTACCAGGGCAGTCCAGCGGTGCAGTCAATTAGTGCCTCACCCACTGAGCCACGGAGTTCATCAGTTCAGAGGACCACAAGTTCATTCTTGCAATTTCCCACCGAGTTAAGCCGGGACGCAGAGGGCGAGCTACGGAGTCTCCACGACTGTTTGTGGGGCACTGCTGTGCGCAATTGTCAGCCGCGTTTCGCCCACAAGATGTACAGTCAATTCACTTTATAGTATATTCTGTGAAGTGCTTTGAGACAGCGTGATAAGGCGCTATATCAAATGCAAGGATTATTATTGTTATTAATATTTATAGTATAGAACAGGGCTGTATAATTCATATCCCACCATGCTATTCCAATGAACTGGCTCCCATCGGTTTGATTTAATACAAAGAGAGAAGGAAAGAGCAGCTATATTCTTCATCAATGCAAGTCTTGAATTATAATATCGTAATAATCCTTGCATTTGATATCCTTGCGTTCCTCGACAAAATCCACAGTCACTACACTTTGAGACAGCCTGGAACTTGGCTTAACCTAGTTGGAAGGACTACACCTCCGTCAGTGCAGAACTCCCTCCAGCACCAACTGACGCTATGATTGGGCCGACATTATCATTACAACAACAGAGTCTCGGAGCGCTTAACGCAGGCAAGCACACAGCTCCAAAGAACTCTTCCTAAACGTGTGTCATTCAGCCTTGGCCCAGCTGTTGTTTTGCATAAAGTCAGGTATTTTTCCCTCCCACCTGCTCGTTTCCACCGTTGGAAAAACAAGGCCTCCTCAGGGATGTGG